CACTCACTCACTCACTCACTCACTCACTCACTCACTCACTCACTCACATTTGTCATACACACAAACATAAAGCAAATAGTCTTTTCACTGACAGATTAAATATATAAACTATATTACAATTAAGATGAACTCATATTATCAGTACATCATACACAAATGAATTTAGATATAGATCATGCTTGGTAGGCAATACCAGAAGACCCCACAAAATGCCCTTCTTGTGGCATCCTTGGACTTCGCTGCAAATATGAAATGCAATACATCGTCAGTTTCCAAGCTCGCTAATCTTAGAAAAAGCGCATGCACTACAGAAAAGTACAGCAACTGGTGTTATAAGCTGCTGGCGCCTGCTCAAAATTTCTCAGTGTCAATAACGTTAAAGATAAAGGAAAGCTACATCCAGCATACAGCGCTCAATGCCCTGGAGTGAAAAGACGTCTATAGAGAGTTGATCTATAGTAAGGCACCCTCTGATTTCAGGCACATAAAGAGGGACTGGTGTTGGAAACTGGGACATGTGTGCGTCTGTCGTGTGTCCGCACATGTAGTGTTTTTGTTTTTGGTCTGAGACTTTAGTGTTAATGTTTCATAGGCCTGAGGTATTTGTGTGTGTGCTTGTGTGAAGGGATGTGCCAGCAGATTCAGAGGGTGCAGCAGTGAAACACAGAGACGCACACTGGCTGAGAGAAGCAGACCTCAGGTGGTGTGAAGTGAATCATCGTTGGAGCACGGGCTGGCACAAGCTGGCTGAACCATTCATGAGTCTGTGCCTGCACCCCTCACTCTTAGAGACTTACACTTGTGCGGCGTAACCAGCAAATCCAGAGTCTTCTGAGAGAGGTTGGGCCAGATCGCCATCATCTCTTTCCTCAGCTCTGCATCCATCTGGTGCTTGTCAATACCACCTGGGTGTATTCATGAAAATGCCAGTGTATGCAAACACACATGCATGTACACGGACAGATGCACGGAGATCAGTGTCCAAGCACATACATACACACACACACACACACACACACACACACATCATTCCGACAAATTAAATTGATATAGGGAGGTGAAAGAGAGGACAAACAGGCAAAAAAGAAATGGTTAAACAGATATCGTGACCAATTTACTCTGAAAGTTAAAATGTCAGCACCTTTTCTTGTCATGATCCAGACTTCAGCCTCACATTCAAACAAGCGACACACTACGCACAATGTCTTATCCACAATGCATGAACTACAGAGGGAGAAGCTTCAGGAACAGCTAAAGAGTTTAGTATTGAAACAGCAGAAGAAATTAAAAAAGGAAAGAATTAATTGGGATTCCAAACCTTCCGTACCCTTGGCGATCTTGATGTCAAGGGCTGTGCGGATCAAAGCCATAAGGGTGGAGTTAAAGTGGACTGTGTTGTCATCGGCCACGGGCAGATCCATTCGGAGCAATCTCTGTGAGAAAGCCAATCAGGGTGAATGGTGAGGAAACTTGGAAGCGAGTGGAGCGTATGTGGAACCTCCAGGTGACAGGGAGGGGTGGGGGTGGGGGGTGCCAGCTTTGTGGCAGGAAAGGGAACAAGGGGAGGGTAAAGGGGAAGGTTCTGAGCCTGAAGGAGCTGTGAACAGCATTTACAGCAGTTGCTGACTCCGTCTGTCTGCTTGTAACGACTCAAGTTCACAATGTCAACGAGAGTGAATTTGGTTTTTATTTTTTGGTTTGAACGAACCTGTGAGCGCCAAGGTGATGAACAAAGAGGTTATCAGATCATACAATATGTATGTCATGACTGTTACTTTTATTGCGTTTTGATTGACGTGTACATGACCTCACAGGTTATTTTAACGTATGCTTTGAAGCCATCGATGGGAAACAGCAGGACACGCTGGGCAGCAGTTACTGTTATTCAGAGCTCACCCTAAAGGTTTGGAGGTTCACAGTAAAAACAACAGAGACCGGATGACAAACCAATAAACCAAAACCAAACTGAAGGGCTGATCAAAGGAAGGGGAGCACGTTGGTTTTCGTTTATTGGTTTGATCCTTCCTAGGTCTTGTTGACCACCGGTAGATTCCGACAGCACAAAGGCGCACACAAGCTCACAGGGTGATAAGTCGTGCGTGTTTGGTGACAAAACACAACAAGCGGAACCGGCGACGACCTTAACATGCAGCGCATCAAAGCCTCCCTCCCAACATTCCAATTAAATGCCTCTCCTTTAATCCATCTTCCCCCAAATCCTTCTTGCATATCCCGCCCCCATGCAGCATGCAGTGCACACATAATGTGCCTCACAGGACAAGCAGCTGTGCAACTATACACAGAAAGCATTCTCTGTTGGCGTCACTGAAATGAGTTTGTGAGTTGTTCCAATGTGGCTTTTGTTGGAAGGAATAAAGGAATTTGATGGGGCTATGCTGAAACGATGGAGCAGCTTGGTCCACCGCAAATTTTCCGAAGTCGAAAGTGTGAAAAATGGGTACAGGTTTGGAGGGTTAATAGGTGAGAGAGAGCAGTGTTCTGTGGGAGCAGAGGGAAGAAAACAATGAAGCAAAGAAAAAAAAAAGGAAAGAAAAAAAGATCATCAGCTCATGGGGGTGTTATTATGGTGGTAAGAGGCGTAATTTTGTTTAGAGTAATCATAATCCATACGTATGTGGGAAATGTGAAGCGAAAAGAAATACTTATTCTGTAGAAAAAACATATAAAGAAACGGAAATGGAAAGCTTAAGGGAGTGAAACCACAGAGGAAGAGAAAATAAATCAATAGTTTATGAAGTGGAGCACGAAAAGCGAAGAAGACCAAAAATAGAATAAACAAAAACAAAGTAATACAGAAAAAAAGAAACCAAATGAAAATGAAAGAAGCACCACCAAGACTTAGTTGGTTGTGTCTGCGTGATGCAGTTGTGTCTGCAGGCTCTGCTGCCTCTCTTCAGGACAGGGATCGAAAATCCTATACGGTAAAATTATGATGGGTGATTGTTCTGTTGACTGGTCGGAGGGGCAAGGGTGGGGTTTGGATTTCTCTCTAACAAAGATGACAACCTTTTGTAAAATTGTTCCAGTAATAATGATAAAGGGGCGTATTATCATGTTAGACCATGCACAAAGAGCATGTCAGGTTTTTAGCAGGGGAACAGAGAGGTTTAGTTAACTGTTTTTGATCAGGAAAGTGGTCTGTAGATTAAAGATAAGGTAAAACTAGAGAAAAACAGAATCAGAAGCGTGAATGGGTGTTGACGTGGGTTGAATTAAAAACAAAAAACATGAAAAAAAAAACTGTGGCTAAATGAGAAAGAACTCTGGAGTGCATGAAAACATGAGGCAAATAGTCACTGAGGCAGTAATCATTATTTCAATCAGGGCAATGTTTTGCTAATGTAAAAGAAATGAATATTGGAACTCATGCTCACACCTAATATGCACCTCAAAATAGAACAAAATGTCAGTACTATTTGCCCCAAGTCTGCAGGAGAAGGAGCAGCGTTTGGATAAAGCGATGTTTGGGTGTGGAGCGCTCTCCACTGCCGACAGGCTGTTTGTCTGGCTGCTGATTTCTCATGACACCGTCAAACTAATCGAATTGGAACATCTGGTAGCATAAATGTAATCACCGTTGAATACATTTTCACTCTAGAAAAAGAACCTATCAAAGGTCTTTGTGTGTGTGTTGTCTTTGACAGACGGGGGTGTGTGCGGGAGCGGGGGGGGTGGGGGTGTTCGTCGGCCATGCAGAAGGCAGGTAAGGACGTGATTATGCGTGGGGAAGGGAGCAATATGCAGAGATGAAGGGGGCTGGAAACAGAATAGAACTGCATTGACGACAGAACCAAAGGACAAAGAGAAGATTGGACTTGCAGATAGAGAAGGCTGCTTGGGGGCTTGGAGCTGCTACATGAAGGGTGACAGAAAAAGAACTGCTTCTGTATGGCAACCAAAGGCTCTCTGAGGAAAACACATCACTGACACAAGCCCTTCTGCTCTCTCTACCATGAGAAAGAACGGAGAATATCTACGTGTAGGTTGATGTGACCTACTTCGGTGTGTGTCTGTGAGCGTGTGCTGGGAGTGTTTGTGTGTCTGCTTCATCCACAGAATGGAACGAGTCAGAGGACATAAGTCTGGCGGACCTTCCAAGCCCTGCTGCACACGCTGTGTCACTGTGTCTGTTTACCAGTGTCTCTAAGTGCAGACGAGTCTGTGTTTTGATGCAAATGTTAGATGTATGAGCAGTTGCACTTATCTGTATGCTTACAACTATCACTCTAGCTTTAAGGCTAAGCTAAAGAGACACCGTTGATCATGATGTGCACGGCTTTCGCATGTCTGTGTTTGTGGGCCTCATGTGCGCGGTGCAAACGAGCTGAGAAGGTCCCTCTTTCTCGTCCCCTCCTGTGGACACACAATCTTCCTCCTTTCGACCTAACTGTCCCGCTACCTCTATCCACCAATTCCACAACATCACACAACGCCACAACACTGACCAGCCCGCCCCCACTTTCCACGAAAAGAAACAGAAACAGAACCAAAGAAAACAACGACACTTAAGTTTACAGTCACGCTCAGCGCTTCGCTCCCTGGGCCCTCCCTTCCAGACCCACCCAGATCCCCACGAAACACCCATGGAAGGCTCGGTCAAAGATGGGGGCCTTTCTGACCTTGTAGGCCACCCGTGCCGGACACCTCTTGCCGAGGCCTAGTGGAGGACTCATGTGCCTCAGCATGTCATACATTTCCCTGCAACTGATCCTGCCACTGCATCACCAGCCAGTGCCACCACCCCGTTAATGAGTTCACAAAAGAGAAAAGGCAGACAGTGGTAGCAGTTATAGCATGGAGTCGAAAAGAATGAATAGGATATTTAGAGAGAAAGAGAGCAAAAGTAACCAAAACAGAGTTAAATAAAAAAGCAGAGAGGCACGGACATCGGGATCATTAGGAGAGACCGTGGCCTTGTGGCCTGTCTCTGGATTGCAATATTTTCTTCCACTTTGTCAAGACAGGGAATAGAGGGAGAAAACGGTGGGCAGATAACAAGATGTGACTGCGAATTGAGAAGTAAATATTTTCTCCTCTGGAACCTGACGATGGTTCTGGTCAAGCGAAAGTACAACAGAATGCAAAAGTTTTGGTACCCTGGTCTAAATTTCAGAGACTGCAAATAATTAAGTAGTGAAAACATGAAGTGATTTCCAAAAAGCATGTTTTATACAAATAAGTACAATAAGATATTTTTTTAAATATCTTTTCTACCATCTTTTAAGTTGTTACATGGATTATTTTGAGAGAATATAGATCGTTGTTGCAGAAACAGTTAACTTTAAATCTTACAGGGATATGTAGTGTTTCCATGTATTTCCATGCACGTATTTCACATAGATTGTTCCATTGTTCTACCAGTAAAATGCATATCCCGCCACTTTCTAAACAACCAAAGAGCCCTTCTAATGAAATTCTGCATCCATTTTTCCTGCATCCATGAGATCTGAACATGTTTTCGTATGTTGGGATTTAGATTAAAACCATGGAAGCAGTTTCTTGGGACAAGGTATGAAGAGTCTCCAACTTGGACATATGGATTTATTCAAATGTTTCGATAAGATAAAGATAAGCAATCACACCAATCTTGCTTAAAGTCCATCCATTTTCTATGACTAATTATTGCTAGTAGAGTCGCCAAGGGGCCTGAACTTATCTCAGCTCGGCTACATCCTGGGCTTGTCGTCAATCCATCACAGAGTGTTGCTTCAAATGATGTTATTTAATCTTAACTCGTCTTGGGTATTCCCACTGCTTTTTTGAGATCAAGTCATGAATTCACTTCAAATCACAAAATGTTTAACCAGATTTGCCCAGTCTATTGTATAGCTCTGTTTATTTGGTGTTAAAGTGTGTGTGTGTGTGTGTCTAAACAGAAGAGCAGGGTGAAGCTTGACAGCAGACAGCAAGCTACACCTTTTTGGGACGAGACAGGGGAGGAAGAGGAAGAGGTGTCAATGCAGTTTCTGTCTTCCCCCCAACCCCTCAAAAAAACCAAGAACAATGCAACACTACAGTGGGCAACCTCAGCTTGCTACATCATAGCCATGGCCCCACAGCAAGCAAAAATAAAAAACAAGGATCTTTGAAAGAAAAAAAAAAGAATGAAAGAAAAAGATCCATTCAACAATGTGACAAAACTTTTTAAACGTGTTTTCCATTTCATTTAGTGCATTTCACATGCTTTTCACGGTGTCTGCATTGTCCCGCACATTCTCTCAGCATTTCAGAATGCAGGTCGATAATGGTGGAAAAGAAGTTGTTGGTTGAAATGAAAACGAAAACAAATCGAACTAAACGAGAAAACAAAGCAGCATTCACTCCATTCCTGGATGCTGTGGCTAGCAAGTGTGGTTGAGAGGTTTCATTTGAATGGAAGTCAAACCTTGCAGGCCACCCTATGGGGGCATTTCTTGCCTAAGCCGAGAGGCGGGTCGATGACCCGTAATAAACTGTACATGTCCTTATAATGTATGCGCCCGCTGCAAGAAGAATACAGGGGAGTTAAACACGCACACAAACAGGAAAAAGAAAACACACAAACATATCCAGAAAGAAAAGAGCACATTGGGAGGAAGAGCACAAGATTGACAAGAAGAACACAGTTTCTGAAAACACTTCACAATATTGGAAAAATGACTTTTGAGACATTTAATTCACAAAGATGTCAAACACACACTTCACTGTGTGGCACATTCTTTTCCATGAGGCCGTTGGCACTTCCAACACTTCACTTTCCAAATTTCATTTATCATTGTTAACGCTATTGTTTTTATTGTTTGTTCTGCCCCTTTCGTAATTGTACACCCCACTCCATCTGCTTTATTAAAACCAACCCCGGACTGGTGTGCACAATGTAATTAAAGGAATAGCACACATACTAGGAAAGCGGGCTCTTGGTAATTGCTCTATGGCTGCTTCCCTCCCTCTTAAATATATGTTCGGTGTGAGCCATGTGCCTGTTTCCCCATTTGCATCCTTGTGCATGCTCGTTCAAGAAAGTAAATCTCACAACAGTGAAATGCTATGTTAAAGGGTAAAAAGTCTCTATTTGCCAAAGCTATTTCAATTACCACTCATAATGAATGATAATCCAAAGTCTTTGGATTATTTTATCTGCTGTATCTTTCAAGCTAATTTGGAGATTACCCTTTAATTTTCTCTCCCAGTAGTCTATGAGCAGTCTACAGGACAGCTTAAGGGTAACACACAGGAACTGGAATACAGATACCATGAAACTTAGCATGTCTACAGGAGACACCGACATTACAGGGAGGTTTTTTTCAGAGTGTAGACGTTGCCCATTAAGTTTTTGCCAGTATACAGATTCCAGAAGAGGGAGAAGGCTTAGGGAGGGGCAAAAGCTATCTCAGGAGAGTTTACAGTAAAGTGAGGGAGGAGAGGAGTAAGGAGGGGGTTGTACAGTGTGTCGTGGCTAAACAGAAGCCCGGTGAGGTTATACTCAGATCAATTTACAGACCTCTTGCTGCTGTTTTGCTGGAATACCACTTTTTTCAACTAGCTGATGCTTGTGCTTTGTCCGTATCATCTTTTCACTACACCGCTGAAAAAAAACATTAAGCTGATGTTTACCAAACGGAAAACTGTGCCAGATTTACAGTGAAGTGACCACTGTCATTGCTTTGGCCTTTCTCTGTATGATCAGAAGATTAGAAGGTGGAATTATACAGTTAAACGTTTGATGAAGCTGAGAGCTGGGACATAAAAGAGTTATTGTATTTGTGCGAGAAGCGAATGTAACATAACATGTTTCCGAATACATGCCCAAGTAGTAATCTCATGTTAATAGAAATTAAAAGTGAGTAGCTGTTTAGTCCCTGTGTTTTTTGGAGGTGAGTCTCCTTGGATCCAAGTTTGTAGTGCGTATTGGCACTCACCAGGCAGCAGGATCATATTCGGCCCATATCCTGACATACTCATCCAGGTGATGAGGTCCCAGAATAGATGAATCTCTAGTCAGGTACTCAAAGTTGTCCATGATGACAGCAACGAACAGATTCAGCATCTACACACACGAGCACAGGAATGCACACAAATCTCTTTTTTTGCATGTGCTCTTGGGCTGACAAAATCACGATGGGCTGCAGATCAGGATGTGAAATCAAGAAGTCCGGCTCTCACCAAGAACGAACAGAAGAAGATGAAGGAGACAAAGTAGAGGTAGGCAACCTGGCTACCACACTCTGGCTCTGAATTCCCTGACAGGGGGTCACAGTCCTTACCCCCCAAACATGCAAGCATGATCTCGTGCCATGCTTCCCCGGTCGCACTCCTGCCAACGTACAAACAGATTCATTTAGCTCTCAGGAAGTTCTGTAACATTTTCCACAGAAGGTCAATCATAGTGAATGGTGCTAAGTGTATATATTGTGTACGTATATGATGGAAACACACGAATAGGCACCTAAAGAGAAGCATTAAAGCCTGTATGAAAGTCCTGAAGTTGTTGTGCTGATCAATGGCACTGTCTCCATCTTCTTCAATTGCAATGTTCCCAAACAGCTGTCAAAAAAATCGAAAAACATCATTTTATTTTAAAAATCTGAAAGAAACGTGTGCATTTCACCATTTACAAAACCTTCACCCTCTCTCCACCCACTCCTTCTCTATAGCATCCTGTACAGTATCTTCCTATTAAACAGTAAAATACATTAAATGCATCCTACGAGCAGTTTAATAATTTCTAGGTGGAGGCTGTCACCCACCTGCATCCCAATGATGGCATAGATGAAAAACAGCATCGCAATGAGGAGGCAGACATAAGGCAATGCCTGAGGAGAGAAGCATTAATCGTATAGTATGAGGCTGATAAACGGCTTTAAGACTTTAAAGACTGAATGTACACAAATATAGCTCAAATCTGCACATGTGGATGAACATCCTGTACAGCAGGAGCAAACCTTGAAAGATTGAACGAAAGTCCAGAGCAGGATCCGAATGGTTTCTCCCTGCCTCAGCAGCTTGATGAGACGAGCTGCCCTGAACAGCCTTAGGAAACTTAAGTTGATGAAATTATCCTGCAGCACAGGCACATCATGACCAGAGATAAAGACGGATGGAGAAGCGGAAGATTGGAAAAGAAATAAGAGAGGAAGGTGACAGAGAGGGGAAGAATGAGGACATGGGGTTGGAATAAAATAAGAGTAGTTAGATGCACTGCAAAGTGTGTAAACAGTGTTAAAAAAAAACAACTAAAACATAATTGAGGGTGGGGAACAGTCAAACTAAAACTGATGTAAGATTCAAACTCAATACAAATCAAATAACCAGGGGTCAAACAAGTCAAAGCAAACCAAACTCAAATCAGCAAGGCTCCAACAAACTTCTCATACCCAGTAAGTCAGACAAAACCAAAAGATGCAACACAGGGGGAAAGGAAACCATCCAGATCTAACTAGTTCCATCCAATTGAAAGAGATACACTATAGAAATCGTGTTAGGAAAGGTGAGTAGTTTGAGTGCAGGGACGTAAGGACGTTTTTTTTTTTTTGGAAAGACAACCAAATGCACCAATTCTCTCAAGGCAAATATGCAATTTAAAACAAATGTATAAGCTATCAGCATGCAGATGCAAACCAAAGCAAAGCAAAGCAGCAACTTTAACATAAGCTCATGCACCATTCGAAGGGACTGAAGAAGTCACTTGATGTGCAGTCGAGGTGTCACAGTCAAAGAAGAAAATCAAACGTTGCAGACTGCTTGGTTCCCACTATTTCAGATTTTTCTGAAACGTTTGTTTAAAAAAAAACAACTTTTGGAATGATGTGATTTGTCATTTGTGTCACCTCTAGTTGATTTTCTCTTCCTCATTTTGCAATATGTATTCTTCGACTGCTTGTCACAGTAAAGAACAAAAGGCTGCAGTTTTTGAGAAAGTGCATAAAAGGAACTGGCAGCAGCCTGTGCAGGTTCCCTTTACCGTATAGCGTGTAAACTAAAGTGTCCTCTGTGTGTGTGCGGTGAAAATAAAGGATTCTTGCCAAAGACATGCAAGGGGTCAGCATGCATCACTTGTTCTCTCTGCCAGTGGCAAAGCTTTTAAATCTCTCAGATGTCAGTGGAAACACTCTACCAGTCACTGTCACATGTGTGGGTGAGTATGTGTACACTGTATGCTCGTATGATGAAAGGGCTACTCTCAATGGATAGATGTGGCAATCTATTCCAGTTTATAGTCCGATCCTTTACAAATAGTTCCGTGTAAAGGATATGCAGTGAGTGTTGTGGTTGATTGGAGTGCAGCAAAACATGCTCTTTTCACAGCCATTCCACTGGTTGGGATGCAGATAAAGCACATGCAGTAAAATAAGATCTGAAAAAAAATTACAAACCCTCTACATGTGGATGTTGAAGGTATATGGTTTAAAGCAGCATATTTTTGGTTGATTCGAAGAACAACCAGATTGACCAAGCCAGTTGTCATGGTGGGCACAGAGGATTCATAGTGCATTTTGATTGGGTGGATTCACAGCAAGTAGTAGGTGATGGGGGAGAGGAGGGAACGGGGCAAAGTAGATTACAGTAGGCCGTCGTTAAGTTTGTGGACGATTTAAAGAAAGCATGTGAAAAGATAAAAAACAAAAAAGAGAAATCATCGGTCAATGCAGAGACAAATCAGCACAGCAGCAGTGTGTAGACTTTTTTTTACTGATACCAAGAATCCAAACAGCAGATCTTTGAAAAAAGTGAAGCATCCATGACTTCATACATATAGAAAGAAATTTAAGAGTGATAGTGGTTAAAGATCTGCCATCTCTGCCTTTAAATAAGGCCTTGAATCATTGGTATCACTCTTTCATATACAAGAGATCTACACACTTCCATTTCTACCATTCATTTCACATCTGCCCTGTATCATTCACAAAGCTCCTCTCCTACTGTACCAATCACTAAAGGCCAGGAGTGCGTATACTATGTTGGGTTTTTCGTCTCCTCTGGATCAATTACATGGTGATTTCTTTAAAGAAGTATCCTTTATCTTGGGAATATCTTTGCAATGACTTTGTACGTAAGACAGAAAATAAGTCTAAACACAGCTTTGTGGCTTTTCGTTCACCTATAGCTATGATACTGGAGTTTTGCAGTTTAGTGGTCACACCTGCGAGCACGCAGTACAATTTGGAACTTTAAGCCTTTAGCTGTTGTGACTAATAGAAGTCTGATACAACCTGATAACATGAAAGCCTGTTGGGCTTCTTGGACAAGCTGTGAACTTGCTCTCTGTTGTGCATCAGCATGCTTCCTGCCTCACTGTCAGTGGCTCAGAACTGACTAGCTGGAACCCCATCCCACCAACTGGGACAATTACATAAGACTTTCAAGAGATGTGGTGGGGAGGGGGGGGGGCATGCATGACTGAGCAATACTGAACTCAGCAGAGGCATCTAACTCATGCTCTCCTCATTCTGCTTGTCTTTTCTTGTGCAAGTTTTTGAGATGCTGTGGCAGAAGTGAAAGTTCACAGACACAAACTGACATTTGGCTGTAAAACTTTGCAAAGTTAATATTGTATCTTTTTTTTTTTTTTTTTACAAGCTTGACATTTTAAAGATACACACAGATGCAAAAATGACCCAAGTCCTTCTACTTACCCCAAGCTCTGTAACCAGGATGTCAGTAACGCTGCCCAGGACTGTCACAAAGTCAAAAATATTCCAGGCATCTTTGAAATAATTCTGTGATCAGGACAAGAGAGAAGAAAGACAAGGACAGACGACAGGAGAACGGAAACGGGGGAAAAAACAATACGAAGGGATAAGGTGACGTGAAGCCAGGTGATGGCAAAATGCAGAAATTAATGGAGCAGAAACATGTTGACGGAGAAATTACAACGAAAGTGTCACAGTGATAGCAGAATGAGTAATGCACAATGCATAAAGATTTAAGGGTAAAAAAAAGGAAAAAACAGAACAAAATGGGAGTGAATAGGCATCAAAGAGAGAGAAAGAGAACAAGGAAGGGAAAAAAAAGTCAGAACAGGAGTTGGACAGGAACAGGAAGAAGAAATTAGATGAGACAAATGGTCCATCATGATGGCATGTTGGATGGATGCCAGCAGACAGGCTCAGGACAAATTCTGCTGCATCAGACGACTACAGCAGCCTTCAAACATTAAGTACTCATACTCTGCTACATATTCGAAAACACGGTCGATTCAGGATTCTAGAGTCAAAAACATGCAGTGAGAAGCTTTACAGTTTGAGTCTAGTTTCTGTAATCTAACATTTTCCATTTAAATTTATTTTTAAATGTTAAAAGTACAAGATATGAATTTGAAAGCTGAATGAGTCTGACAGAAAGAGGGATTGTGAGGACAAAATCTTGATAAGCTACCACTCCTGCTTTCCTACATATTGCCTATAGCCAAACTGTGCATTAGACAAGGGAAGGGAGGCAAGAGCAAAAGAGGCATCTATGAGATAAACCACCTTCATACACACATCTCTGAGGGACGGCATTACATCTGTTTATGATATGCAGGCTGAGTTTGCTCATCATCCTTCAAATCCCCTCCTGCTAAATCACCACTCTGTGTAATCTTAGCTTCCATTTTCACCTCCTATATGTCATTCTTTCTCATTTTGCTAATTACACTCTTACTGTTCCCCTTTTGTCCTTTATTTCATTCCCGCATCCATCCCCCAAATATCTCCTCTATCTCTTTGGCTGACTTCGGTTACCTTCCCTCTTCCTTTGGATCTTCGCTTTTTAACTCAAAATAGAACATCATTTCCCCCAGTTTCCAATGAAATATGCAAAACATGCTGCAAAACTGAGGCACAGGATTGCAGTGAACCCTTCTGTTGGACTTAAAAGGACATTGACTGGAATTATTTTTTTGTCTATACTGTAGTCCTTTTCAGCTCATTAGTTTGTTATCAGACACGCATAAGCATTAAGGTCGCTTGTTCCCATTAAGCACAGCAAAGCGTGACTTTAAGGAGCTTTTTTAAAGAAAAAATGACTATTACAAAACAAAACTAATCAGAACAGTTCTGGCTTCCAAGATAGGGCTGATTTCAGCCCTATTTTACAGCACGCAACACTCACCAATACTCCGAAGGCGATGATTTTGAGGATACACTCCATGGAGAAGAGGGAGGTGAAAACTATGTTCAACTTGGCTAGCACAGCTTCATAGGTTTCAGAAGCTCCATCATACTATCAAAAAGCAGATACACGAGAAAAGAATACCATGAAGAAAGAGAGCCGCTTTGAGGGCCCGTGAACACACACTGCAAGGGGCCAAGAGGAGGGTTACTATAATGACACATAAACGGCATCATTTGAATCAGCGTTGGATTCATATTTTTCCTACTGCGTGGCAAGCTGAGAGAGACAGAAAACTTGGGAGAGGTTTACCTTCATCATCAGCACTACTGTGTTGAGGGCAATCATAGCCATGATAGTGTATTCAAATGGCGGAGACACCACAAATTCCCACATTCGGTATTGAAAGCTCAGCTTGTTTTGAGGCATGTGACGTGTCAGAGGCCTAGCGTTAATTGCAAAGTCAATGCAAGCTCTCTGTCAAGAGAAGAGGAGAAGATGTGTGTAATGGTTCAGTTATTACTCTGCCTCTCCATGACCATCACCAACAATTAGCCGCGAATCCTTCCTCACCTCATTCTTTTCTAAACTATAGTCCTCCATCATCTTGTCTCCCTGTTCCTGGAAGGTGATGATGATGAGAGCGACGAAGATGTTGACGAAGAAGAAGGGGAAGACCACGAAGTACACCACGTAAAAGATGGACATTTCCATCCTGTATCCGGGGCTCGGGCCCTGATTCTCATAAGTCGCATCTACTGAATGTTTCAGCACCCTGCAGCACCACAGGCGAGGTCAGGAAGTGGTTATCGGCTCTCAGAAACATGCATGCACCACAGGTGTCTGCACAAAATACTCACTGCGGCCACCCCTCTCCGGTAGAAACGGTGAAGAGGGTGAGAAGGGCCCAAGCCACATTGTCATAGTGGAAATCGTATTTCTTCCACTCCCGCTTCTGCGCCTTCACTTCGTTATCGCGTTCGTACACTAGATACTCGCCTCTGAAATACACACAACACATCGCAGGAGAGACTTTTATCGCCTGTGTATCTGCTTTGGAGGATTTTGTCCAAGTACTGAAAACGCTGGGGAAATGGAGGAATTCCTTAAGGAATCGTTTTCACAAATCAGAGTGAACACACTTTAGATGTCCTGACCTGCAGTCACGCTCAAACTCTTTAGATTCATCAGTGCAGTAAAAGAAACGGCCCTTGAACAGCTGTACGGCCACCACCGCAAAGATGAACATGAAAAGTAGGTAGACGATCAGGATGTTCAGCACATTTTTCAGAGAGTTCACCACGCAGTCAAACACAGCCTAAAGATGGAGAATGACACCAACAGGGATTAGGGCTTACGTTCTGAAAAAGTCCATTCGTTTTGGTCTTGACATGCAGCAAAAATAACCAATGAAACTTTGACTTGCTTTATGACTTCCCTGTGTGGACGTACCTTGAGTTTCGGAAGACGTTTAATAGTCTTCAGAGGACGTAACACTCTCAGGACTCGCAAAGATTTGATGGTACTGATGTCCTTTCCTTTACTGTTCCCCCTACATGTGTGTGTTCACATATATATGTAAATATATATATACACACACACACACAGACAAACACAAACACAAAAAATAAGTGTTAACAGGTTCAAAAGTGCAGCTCAGCCTTAGTCCGTCTCTATTCCAAAATGGCAGCAGGCAGCCATTTCTCAGTGGTACTTGTCTCCGAGTTAGCTCGAAGTGAGTAACTGCGTCCAGATTAAATCCACAGCAACACATGCAGCATTGCTATCATACTACACCACAGCCTGTTTTTTAAGCGTGAGGTTAGCATAGTAGCTACATGCTAGTCATGAGGTATCCTGTAACTACAAAACATGCTGATATCATTCCTGTCTGAATGCTATCTGGTAGCATTTTGTTAGATACATTGCAACGTATTTCAATGCTTCACAGAGAAGGCTAAAGGCTTGACTTGCACATGCCCAGTTACAGGTGACATACTGTATATTCATGCTGCATTGAAACCTTGCTTATCATGCTGCAATATTTCTGCTTTTCAGTAGCAGCCTTTATTTCTTTCTAGACACATTTGCAGAGAGAGTTTGGTTGAGATCTCAGCGAAAGAGGAGTAACGACAAGTTATGTAACGAAAGGTTAAGTGGGGTTCAATACTATATCACTATTACCACTGACAAAACAAAAAAAAAACAAAAAAATCAACAGAGTGACATTTATGTTGTAAAACTTCTTCTTAAAAAGGTGAAAACCTGAGAAAAACAGCCAAACTCCCTCTTTCTATGATTTCTAGAAGCTCTAAAGCACAACTAGGATCTGATAGTTTTGCAGCATTGTTCAAACAACATGGAATTCTGTCTTGAGGGGCTCTTGATTAACTCAAAGATATCTAACGAGCATTCCTTCATAAAATCTAAAAAAGGCTCAATTTGCTCATATGTGTAAGCTAAACAGTGACATATTCAAAAATTCCAATATACAAAAACTTGAAATTACCCTATAATGCCATGTGTTTCATTTTTCTAAATTCTAAATATTTTGCATCTGAGACCTATCATATAATGTGATAGTAAAAACCCTGTAGTACACAATCAGATATACCTGACAACAGCGGGCAGAAGACTGCACAACAATACTTTTCAGCGCACAGTAATCAAATGGTGAATATTAAAATAATAAAAATATTGTTTTTTATATCAGTTTATTTTTCATATTTTGTTATATGGCCAAATAAAGACTTATTGAATCAGGCTTTTAAGGGTTGAAGGAAATTAAACTCACATTGAAACACCTCGAAAAATAAAGGTTTACTGAAGTTGAAAGACAGCTTCTCAAAAATTATGACTCCTTAACCTAAATAATTTGCACCATGGGAACAGTCATTCTAAAGGTATAACTTGAAAAGAACTGACTCAAAAGACTGAATAGATTAAGATCAGAGGTTACTGAAGCAATCCTTTAGAGAGAAAACATCTGTGCGTACAGCTGGCTAATTCTTTCAGATGTCAAACCAGATGGTAGAAATCTGGTAGTTGTGTACACATTTGTATTGACGCACACAAGTAAAACGGTGTGTATGGGGTGTTTGAATTAAAAGAATTAAATGACTTCACAACAGTTTTCCTCCCACTCTCACCTTATTGTTGAAAAATTGCCTTAAGATCTTGAGCACTTCCTCACTCAGTTTCTGACAGTGTATTTACTGTAGTAATAAACCTTCAATTAGCACAGAATATCAATTTGCATCTGCGTTACGCAGCTGAGAACAAGATGCAGGTTATTATGAGGCTTAGCTGTGTTTGAAGAGGAGTTGTTCCATGGTGAACAATGGAATAAACTGAACAATTGACAAGTACACATTTCAGCTGTGATGAAGGATGGATGAAAGGGAAACAGGTGTGTGGGCACACGGACAGATACTGAGAATGCAGAAGGAGAAAAAGAGCAGGAAAAAGACAGAGAACTTTACCCGCTGCCACTGCTGATGATCCAAACGGAGAGATGAGGAAGGAGTGAGAGACAGCAAGAAAACAGGAGAGAACCGACAAAGAGACAGACGATGGAAGAAAGACACAAAATGGGACACAGAGAGAGGAGAAAAAAAACATCCATATGAAAGAGCGAGAGAACAGACAGGGGGGATACAAGGCCTGCTCTCTATCCTACCAACCCTACAACTAACAGATTCCTTCTGTCAAATGAAACAAACAGATAAATTCAAACATGAAAAGCCTACTGGTGATGGGTCTGCAGGCCAGATACTGTCATTTTACTGGCATTCCCTTTAAGGGCCACAGTCTAATTGTAAGGCCATGAACTGGACATCCAAGATCAAACTGCTGTGAGTAACAACAGGGAGAATGTAAACGTATTCTGCCGGCACTGTCAAATTGAACAGCAAGGAGAAAAGAGTGTTGAAGCAATTTCTTAAGCTAACCAAACTCAATTGGCTATCACCTCGTTCTCAGAATCCAACACTGAGTGCTGAAATCAGCAGGACAGCGGCAAAAATGACCAAAGACGCAGCGCCCCTTAGACCTCAACATTTGGATTAAAGGAGCGATAAACATCGCCAACCGGAATACAGATCCCTTTTGGAGTGCAGTATGATTTCAAGCAACTGGATTAGGGCGCTATCTGGAAGTGAATGAGTCTGTTTTGATTGGTTCTGATATACCCATCGTCCACTACTGGTAAATCCCACTGCATTTAAATCAGATCTATTAGTTTAGGTGTTATTTACAGATGAAACTTCACAGCATTTTTAATTCTAATTTAAACACAACATGACTTTATCAACTTAGCTCAGACTTGACAATTCTAATGAAATACACATCAGAGATGAAATACACATCAGAACAAGTGTAACACATAGAGGTTGAAGGACACGATTAGATAGATGTAACCAGGGGGACACATAAACACACAAAAAAGAGACAGGTTCAACTGAAACAAACTGGAAGAATTTTTGTGTAAAATGCACACATCTAAAGATGATTCTAAGAGCAGAAATGTCTTAATACCGGAGTACTAAAAGAAATAAAATAATAAGGCCCCTGTTTCAGTGCAGTTTCTTAATCGAGACTATAGAGAATTCTTGACACACCAGGCCAGCAAAGCTAAATTAAATTTGGTTCCAAGATGGTTTAAAACGGTTGGAAATCTTTGCTTATTGCAAAAGAGATTAGCGGGATCTTGGACATTTTTAATTGTGATAAATGAGGTGAAAGTATGGGCAAAACACAAAGAAGAAGGTGCTTAAGACTATTTTAATCTGGGTATGTTGCAGACATATGTGTTGTGTCCTTTAGTATTTTGAATAGATAGAAATGTTTATTTATCATTTATATACACTATGACTCATTTGTTCTAATGGTAATGATAAAATGATCCCACTGGTGACCTAAAGCATAAACATTTAGACCAGTGTGTGTTGTCATTTCATTTTCTGCTGAAAGGTGAGATGAATGCAGGAAAAACACATACTTGCCCACCACTTTGAACTGTTATGCAACATAAAAAAAGATTTAGTGATTTACAAAATGATTTGCAAAAGGAGAAAGCACACAGTACTAAAAAACAAAACGAGTGTCTTCTACACTCAATTTAATCTTTTCCACAACCATGCAAAGGCAAAAATGCATTATGATTTACTATTATTACTATTATTATTATAAATGACTATTTTTTGTTAAGCATTAAACCTTCTTCTCTAAATGAACTCACTTACAACCTTTTTGTTTTTTTCTCCTCACAGTCATGCAGATTAAGTAGAGTTAAAGTACCTGCTTTGTCGAGGAAAAGGGATTGGAGATTTTTGGAAGAGTTCAGCCAGAACCGGCCAGGCCTTGCAATAGGCCCTTAAACTCTAGAACGCCCTGGGCACTAAAGGGTTACAGGTGCAAAGGGTGGTCCTCACCTCTCACATGGGAAGGTTTAGGTAGATAGGAGGATGATGCTGGGGCATTCTTTTTTTTTTTAATGTAGGGGTGTGAAAGAATTGGCAACAGAGCGTAGATGGAGGAAGGGTTTGGAAATGAAAGGACTGCAGGAGCAAAAGATGGATATGAGAGAGAAAAGCTACAGGAAATGGCTCAGATTTGACTGACCATTTGTACAGTGAGGGAAATGGCTCAAAGTTTACTGACCATTTGTACAGTAAGAACAGGCCACGAGGAAGATAATTGAGGTTTGCTGACAGAATGAGAGAAAGGTGTAAGAGATGATGAAAAACAGAGAAAAACAAAGATGGAACCATGGGTGGGTATAAAGGAACAGGAGAGGACGTACTCCAAGGTACCAATGAGGCAAGAGAGCTCCAAGAGGGGGAGGACATAGAGGGGGGGATGACATAGGATGGTAGGAGGGAGACTTACGTGAAGGCGAAGGCCACCAGAGCACCACTAACCACTATAAAGTCAAGGATGTTCCACAAGTCCCGGAAATAAGAGCCCTGGTGCAAGACCAACCCCAGATCTACCATCTGGAAGAGAGACAGAAAAGAGGGTCTCAGTTGCATGGTTTGACTTTGGTGCACATTAAAACGTATTGATAAGCTTTTTGAAAAAGGTCACTTCCTGATTTGACACATTGCCCCACCTTTACCAACATCTCAAAAGTAAACACTCCAGTGAAGACATAGTCGAAATAGCGGAGAACCTGCACAGAGAAAAAAGATAGCATGTATAGGACTAATGGAAGAGTGGGGCCAAACAGACAGGTAGGAGGGAATATATATATTCAATAATAGTAGATTGGTCGTAGATTGGTGTAATAGTAGGTTTAACTGATTGTTTGATATGTTTTACATGATGATTTACACAAATCTGGGACTGGTCCAAGCTACATACTTAGTGATAGCTATTTAGACAGAAACAGTCTGCACATCAATAAATATATCTAAGGCAACAAAAAGTGATAAAAAAATATTCAATCTGTGTTGACTTTCTTACATTATTTCTGGGGGATTCGGGCCAGACTGGGTCCTCAGCAGCCAAAGCAATACTGCTCATGGCAATAACCAGCAGGATGCACATCTCAAAATATCGCAGGGTGCAGACGTAGTGACAGGCCCGCCGAAACCTGTCAACACACAAGGGCACACCGCAAAACATTGCATAAGCCCTACAGCTAAAATTAGACAGACTCTGTAAGTTTAATCAAACTCAAATATTTCCTATTTCCTATCACAGCTCCAGCGTATACTGATATTGATATTTCAGCCATTTTCATCCAGATTGTGTCGAACATTAAGCCTCAGATCCAAAGAACATGTCACAGGTCCAAAAAATGACCTACAGAGTACTCGTTGAATGTGCCGTGGGCTTTTTTCTACACATATAGGCTCATTCAGCATGAGTTTGTGCATTACGTACGGATTGGTGGTGGACAAAATGAACATGGAGCTGTATGGAGGCATAGGCCTGGGTCCTCCTTCGCCTCCCTTTTCGTCATCATCATCCTTGTCCTCCTTTGCTGGAAGGGGCTCCGTGTTGGCGTTTTTATTAACTGGAGCAGAGGGTGAGAGATAATAAGGGAAGAATTGTTTGGTTGAAGCCACTTCATTTTATTTTTATTTAGTCAAAAGTTAATGGATAGTCACTATGGCCCCACCTTGCAGGATGGCATTGGTAGAAGGAAAGATTGGCATATCCACAGCTGTGTAGTCAGGGTGGGGTAACCTGATCACACTGTTGGCACGGCGATGTCCAATATTTCCATAACTATCCAATGTGACCAGACTTCCACGAGTGCCACTGTTGACAAGATGGAGGGCAGATCCAAAGCCATGAGCTACAGTACGCTTGGTAACTGGGTTAGGGTAGCCTTCGGTGGGTGGAGAGCCAGACACCAGTTTGGTGTTCATGAGGTTGTCCATGTCCTCACTGTACTGGCTATTCTGCCTGGAAAGGCTCTTCTGGATGGGCCGTGTGGTAGACAGGTTGGGGACACTGCAGTCCCTGCAAAAAGAAAGTGGATTGAGGGGAGACAAGACAGAAACGATTAGGTGACATAGAAAACAAGTGGGAGATAAGCATCAAGAGGATAAATTATGTGAATTTTAAGTCAGAGCAAAAAACGGTGAAAATGGACTTACTTCCTTCTGTGTTGGCACATCCTTTTCCCCTCACCCTCTGCTTGATTTCCATGGCGATTTCTTCTTGGCCTCCTCTCGCTGCCGTCGACCGCTCCCTCGTGCTCTCCTTCTCCACCCCCTTCGACCCCTTTGCTCTTATGTCTTCCTGATTTTCCAGCTCCTTCCCCACCGTCATTTCCATCTTCTGCATTTTTTCGATGGGACCTGGGCTTCCTGTGCTCTGACTGCCCTCCCCCCCGACTGCCGCTCCGGGTGTGACGATGACGTCTGGACGGCCTTTCCTCCAAGCCTGGGCCAGGAATTACGGTGGCATCCAATCGGACATGAGATTTGTGGTGGTGCTCACCTTTACGGCTCCGTCTGCTCTCTGTTGACTCCCCTCGATCCAGGGGAGGTCTGGGTGGGCCTGAACCCCCTCCACCAACCCCTTCTACTTGGCCAGGGTGCTCGTGGAGCCGCGTTTGCTTGTGGAGCTCTTCAGCAGGATGGTGCTGGCTGACGTAGAGGTCTGAATTGTTGGCAGTGTTCTTGTTGGTGTTGTTGTTTCTGTTCTCAAGGGGGTCAACAACGAGGGGTCGATCCAGGTGGGTCTTCATATCTGGACGGATTTGGCGTGAATAGTTGACCTGCAAGGAGAGCAAGAAAATGGTAAAGAGGAACCAGATGAAGATGGTTAATTTTAAGTTTAAAGCATATGCATATGAAGCATATGGTCACATTTGATAAATGCCAGCCAGCTTGTGTACACTGATAGCACAAGTCTAAGGGCTTGTTTGCCTTGTCCTTTACATTGTTTTGCTCCTCCCTCCCTGTCCTTGCCTTCCAGTGTTCTTCAGGGTCCAGCTCGTTGTAGAGGGCCTCGCGGCTGGAGGCCAGAGTCTGCTTCCTCAGCTCCTTGGTGCGCTGTTCCCACACTGACTTATTGACCCCTTTATTGTTGTTCTTCTGCTGCTCTTTACTGCAGATGACGCAAGGAGGAGAGAAAGAAGAGCATTGGCAACATTAAAAGCTGTTGCGTGACATGCCGTTTGTCAAATATACACCCAAAGACATGAGAATGATGACGTGAAAACCAACACTAAAAATATAAGTACATAAAATAGCCAGGACATAAAGACACACTGGAGCCCACAGACATTTAAAGGTTATTTGACTGGGCCTATAGAACTGGGCAGATCTCAACAGACCATAACTTTGGGTGTCTACAAAGCTTTCCAAAGCATAAGGCAGGGCACCCTTACTTTGGAAAACCATACGGGGACACAACATGGAGGATAAAACTGAGGCGAGGTCAGATTTTTTTTAATAACCCAAACTTCTTAACATGATAGAACAGGCTTCATCCAGCAGAACGTAATTGGAAACATCACCCGGGGATCCCCACTGAACTGAATAAATAGACTGAAGAGTTTGGAGAGTGTAGTCTTTAATACAGAAAGACCAAGGAACTGTTAGTGACCACCTCCTTTTATCACCCTCCAAAACTTCGACCAACTTTAACTCCATTTTCTCTCAGGGCCAGCAGGCAACCACAGTAAAGCAACAGCCGTACTGCGAGGAGCAGGCAACAGAATGAGTACTCTTAAAAGTAAGCCAACACAAAGAGCTTAAAAATGCCAGGGATGGAATTCATAAAGGAAAGTTAGGAACAAAGGTACAAGGAAAAGTGGCTGTTCTGAAACACAAAAGGAAATCAAGGAATGGTTGTAAAGTCAAACAGAAGGGATTCAAAAATGAATAAACGAATAAATAAATACCAGTCCAGAAAGGGGTCGGTTGCGTTGTGACACTCACTGTGTACTTTGTTGCTGAGGAGGGAAACAGCTGGTGAGTGAGATGGCACGAGAGTACAGGAGGAGGATTTCATTCCAAAATGGGCAATCCATCAACCATTAATAAAAAGACAACTACTGGACAAAATGAGCTGAAAAAACTAAAATTACCAAAATTAGGTAATACGCTTATGAAATGTATAACTGAACAAATGTCAGAAGAAGTTCTAGTGAAAAAGATTCAGCATTTTGGAATGCAGTCCTTCACACGCACAAACACAATACAACATGTGCATCGAGACACCAGTTCACACAAAGCCTCTGCAGTTCATTAAGTTCTCTGAACCGAAAACAGGCCCTTTTAAGCCACGTCCTCATTTCCTCTTATTCCACTCGACAGTTACATTGTATGCTAATGGTGGTCATTTTAGCATAGCTTTTACTGCATACTTCTTTTTATTAATTTGTCTTTGTTTATTATATTAGATCTGTTTGGAGATTGCACAAGAAAACTAAAGTCAAATCTCTCTGCATTCATTATACACATTTATAGACATTTCTCATTGTGACTTGTGATTATTCAATTGAAATCTATAGTATGCTCATGTTGGCATATATTAATCAGGATAAATTCTACAGGGAAAAAAAGGAATGTTTTCAAAGTTACTTTCTGTTTAGCAAAAGAATGGTTTGGGTTGTAAAGCGTCAACGGTTTTAAACACAACACTGCAGGATGCTCATACAGCTAAAACGGTGACTACATACTGTACAAATATACTGCACTGATTATGAATTTCTACTTTTTTGTGATACTGCATGGCTGCTTAAAGGGGACTGTTTTTTTGGACAACGAGTTTAACTCATGGAGCCTTTTACATAGCTTTTTGAGGCATCCTTCTCCTCGAGTGTACCCTACAATATCTTCTTAAGAGATTATTCATGCACCACCGATGGCCCCAACTTTCAAATCCCTCTTTTTAAAAACAAGAACCATTTCCACTGAATCTCCAATAGCTTTCTTTTTTATGCTGCGCAAATTAGGGATTTACATTGATACAGTGAAATCAAATGCATGCTGCTGCTTTATATTGCTTAAGTCTTTTCTTAAATTTTAACCAAAACTCAACTCTAAAGCTTAGATTTAGAACCAGATAGATAGAACTCTAGTTTCAAAAGGTTAGTGTAACAGGAAAATACACTTTATACGGTTTATGGCACACATTGCTGGTTTGTTGGCTCAAGGAAAGCAATCAGGAAGTTAGTAGGAGAATATCTTTTCAGTTTAAAAGGCACTTTTCCTGACAAAACTAAAACAGGCTCAAACATTTCTATTTCTTACACAGTGGCATGCACACCAAATTAAAAACAAGATATTTAGGCCTAACTGGAAAGTGACAGTATACACAAACACAAAGAACAGTGAACAACAGTACACAGTACAAAGGGTGATGAAACAGAGAAATCCATGAAGTGATGAACATGACTGTCTTCGAACTGTTTTTCGAGGCTTTCGTTTGCACTGAGTGAGCAGGATCTTATTTAAAAAAAAAAGTAATGTCAGGCACCCGTGTGATGTGTGGGGCCTCCCTGCGGTGCAGATTATATTGTGGCATGGGCTTCAGCATGTGTGCATGCATGTACGAGTTAGAGTGTGTGAACTTTACCAGCAGAGGATGTAAAGACCCCTTTGTATTCAGAGAGAAGAGATCAAAGACTCCTCTGACCAGTTGAGAGCTGGCCCAGGGCGGCATGTACATGTGTGTTTGTATTTTATGATACAGAGGAGATTGTTAAAGAAAGAAAGAAATACAGGAGAAGCAAAGGACGAGGTGGCAAAAGAGTATAAAGGTGCAAGTATTTGAGTCTTCTAATGTGTCTGATAAATATGTGACCAACCACAAAATGATGTGATTATTATTATTGTTATTATTTTCAGTAATTTTCCCTTACTTATTTATCAATGTATTTAATTTAATCTTAAAGACGATCTTTGTAAGTGGATCAAGGTGGCCCAGGGGCATTTACCAAATATCAGAATGATACTGTCTGAAGTGAGACAGTATCATTCTGCAATAACCTGCTGGCAAAATAAAAAAAGAATATAAAAGTCCCCTTTCCAAATATTTTCATGCAATGCATTCTCTGAAAAGCCTATCACCTAAATATTGTTGTCAGAAAAATCTAAGACCACCACAGAAGCAGAAACTCACGCTGCAATGGAGAGGTTTGCTGCAGACAATGGACTGACTTCAGCCACCTCCTTGGCTTTCTGTAGGGCAATCTTCTGATTTGCTGCCTGCTCTTCCTCTTGTTCATCCTGCAAAGAAAGATTAGGAAGGATGTCAAAGGCAAGAGATGAATACAGTGTGAATGCAAATGGGGACAAATAGAGTTAGCTTTTTTCAGAAGTAGAGTGTCTCTTTTGCTGTTTTTAAAAGAGAGAACACTAACTGCTGCGCTGTATTGTACCTTGGTCAATTCCTGTGCATTTGCCAAATTGTCCACAGCGATAGCCAAGAACACATTTAGCAGAGTATCTGGACACAGAGTTAAAAGCAATCAAGCATCTTGGAGATTAAACAAGATATATAGCAGCCCCTTAAAAAAACTGGCCAAACCACTTGCAATATATTGCTCTTGGCAGGTCCAAATAAGAGATTGCAAAAGACCCAACAAGGTCACACAGCTAGCTCATAATACCACATCTTTACAAAAAATTAATAATATTCCAAGTGACTGGTCTGGTTGATGTGAAGAGAATATAAGGCCACATTGCATATTGAATGCAATGAATGATTAAGTACAGCAAGAAAAAAAAGATCTTATATCAATGAAACTCTGAAAAATAGTTGCATACATTTAACTTTAAGCATTGAGCAAAATGTATGTTTATGTGCTTGTCTTCCATGGCATGCCAGCATCAAAGGATACAGTTGCCAAAAAGTGTGAGAACAATGAAGAAGACAGAGAAGGCCATGCCCTTGTTGACTCCACCCTGAGACTTGATGCCATCGTACATCACCATGTTCCAGTCTTCCCCGGTAAGGATCTGTAACACACACCGAACATACACAAATAACTGAGCGGACAAAGCTACGCCAGTGTTACATGATTTCACAAGGGCCTATCTGGATTCTTCAAGCTCAAGATTTCTTTCACTCAGATACATATTGAAACCCCAAAATAGCTTTCTACATTTTAACAACATCTTCCGTTCTTATTCCCTCTCCAGATCTTTGCCTTCTCTGCTCACCTGAAACACAGTCATTATTGCTGCAGGGAAGGTATCGAAATTGGTCGGAGGGGTGCCATTTTCAAAATTAAACCTGATGAGGGCAGAAAAGAGAGACAGCAAAAAGAAATATGAGGAATAACATGCCAAGGTTGGTTTGTCCTAAAGAATGACAACTCAATAAATCTCTCAGAATGGAGGTACTGGCAGACACCCGTATCTTAGTAGAAAGTTAAATGGGGAATAGTACAGTAAAAGAGGGAGGAGCAAGGCAAAAAAACAACACTGACTGTCCACCGAAGAGCTGCATGCCCAGCAGGGCAAAGACAACTATGAAGAGGAAGAGCAGGAAGAGCAAGCTGATGATGGACTTCATGGAGTTGAGCAGAGAGACGACAAGGTTACGCAAAGATGCCCAGTACCTGACGAGCAGAGGTAGGAGGCGGGGGTTAAGTTGTGGTTAACAGGAGTGAGAGATGATCTAAATGTTGGAGTCAAAAATGCAACGGTAACTCACTTGGTGACTTTGAATATCCTCAATAACCTGAGAGCTCGTAGCACACTGATGCCAAAAGACGTACCCGGCTGGATGATGGACCAAAAGACTTCAAAAATGCTGCCGCTGATCACCTAATTCCAACACAAACAAATTCATTTAGCAAACATAGGAAATACAGCCGGACATTTTCATGTATATGTGAGCATAGTTTTTTTTAAACTGCATTTCTAAGTTGAAGGGACTATGAGTGTGTGAGCTTTTTATTTTTTTTTACATTTCTTTCTGTGTGGAATGTATTCAGGTAAGCGCAATGGGACTCACAATGCAGTCGAAGCAGTTGAAGGAGGAGTTGAGGTAGGCCTGCTTGCCCAGGCCGTACATCTTTACACACATCTCAGTCAGGAATATTCCCAGAAAGATTAATTCAGCAAAATCTGTACCCAAAGGGAGAAGGGCAGTGGAAAGGTAGAAGAACGGGTTGTTCATGAGGGTTGTTTTGTCATTTTGAATTGGCAAAGTCATTATACCACCAATGCTCCAAACTCATGATTATTTTGCAGTCCGAAATCTTTTACTATCAGGTCAAACCTAAATTTATTCTTTTTCAAGAGTTATAATAAGACAGTGGTCGGCAAATAGTTAAAAAAAATAACATCCAATAAAAAAAAAGGCATCTCCTCGTTTGCCAAAGCATTTAAATCTTTGGGTCAGCTTTTTCATGGATTTAGTGGCATTACTGAAGAATTTGCAAACCCATTCCTTTCCAGTAATCTGTGATAACAGCATTTGTGTATGTGTGGAGATAATCTGCGTACAAAGCGTCCTTGGGTTCACTTCCTACTCACATAGAAAATCTGAGAGTGGCTCGGGCTGGTCGTAGTGCACCACAGCCACACACAGCGTGTTGAGGCCCACCAGACACAGTACGGTCCAGTAGAAGGCCTGAGACTTGACAACGTGTCGGACAAAGAAGCGGAATCGTCGCTCCCGCCTCTTAAAAGTTGATCCTTCAAGCTTAGAGCTCTTTAGGCTGGCACGGGCAAAAGGTGAACCTGAAAGATTTTGAGAAAAATTGCATAAAATTGGCATGATTGCACACGCATGACAATCTAAAAATAAGGATTATAATTACAAGGTTGGGGATATATCGCAGACTATTTTGCATTCAGTTAATGTTGATGTTTACTGCAATCCTGGTTATTATGGTATGTTGTGGGATGTCTTTTATAGTGCTGCTTCAAATACATGTTGTGCTTTATATCACTGCAAACCTAAAAATTAAAAACTATTATGGGATTCCCTTTCTCTTAAGGAATTGGTAAAATATGGGATAGAGGGGTGAAACAGAAATGGAACAACAAGTGCCGGTTTCAGACAAATGAGGGACTTCAGGGAAAGAAAAGGCAATATTACAACAGCACAGCAACTGAGATGAGGAGCGGAACACAGAGGGACAGGGAGGAGGCTGAAGGAGAGGAGGGTCAGGTAATGCTGAAATGTGTGATAAGACATCATCTCCATGTACCTGCGGTTTGTCTTTATGTGTGTGTGTGTGTGTGTGTGTATGAGAGAAAGACCAGACGTATCTTACCCACTGCCAGATCTACCTCCCCTTCCTCAGGGTTTAGAAGCTCTGCCTTGCTCTTATGGTTCTTTGTGGCTCTTCTACGAGAACCTGCAACAAAAAAAAGCCCTCTGTAACACATTCAACTGAGGCTACTCCAGTTAATGGCATTATCAGAAAGACACATGAACTACCATTGTGGAATACCATACCATCATAGTCATTTTCATTTTCATCGTCTGCCAAGATGACCTCTTCTACAAAACACGGAGCAGAAATATTAATGTTAGAACACATAGCCACGTCATATCCATGTCTGATCATTTATTAGCAGATGTTTAAAAGGACTTCTTCTTCCCATTATCATGTAGTAATGTCAGACGATACAAACCAGCTTTGCAGATCCACTCCAGGTATCCATTGAGTTCTCTCTCAATCTGCTGTTGTCTTCTGAGCTTCAGGAACTCGCTCCTGTTCTCCACACGCTCTCTCTCTTTGGCAAACTCCCTACATGGACACAGCACAAATTCAGAATACACAACCAGTGGAGACACTTTGGGATAAAGGTACTGAATGAACTCCCTTTATTTTGAGTTATTGAAAAATAAACCCATTTCCGGGTTGGAGTAAATGTTCTAAAGAAAATCACTTGATCTGACCTGCTCATGTCGGCAACAAAAGCATCAATAAGATGATAATAGCACATTTGCATCGGTACATTGCTAAAGGATTTCGGAACTTTTTGGAACATTGCACCCTTTTCAGAGGGAACTTTGAGGCTTCAAATAAATTGGTACAGAAATCGGTCCCGTTTCCAGCAATCAGTGATTCGTGACAGGGCCCAAGATGATGGGAGCACTGTCAGCATCAAACAAACGTATCAAAAGACCATGTTGCAGGCTTCCTTTCAGAGACTTACCCTGACAGCACACCAAGCACCAGGTTGAGCATGAAGAAGGAGCCGATGATGATAAGGGGAATGAAGTACATCCAGTTCCATGCACTCCCTGAGGCGTCGTTGCTCTGGAAAAATACATCATGAGAAACAATGTTTTTCTACCCATGGAACTGGTGTGGTGGCAGCTGAGGTTGACAGTTCATCACAGGAGCGATTTGAAAATAGTGATAGTCATCATGACAATTACAACCAATGAAATACCGTTAATGCTTTTAATGGCGTGTTTCTGTTTGTGTTTTTATTCGATGGAGAAGTTGTGTTCAAGTCTGCGAGGTGGATGTTATTTCATTACAATGTTATGATAAACAGCAGCTAGGATGGCAAGAATTTGCTTTAAGTCCTCTCAGTATGCACATGCATCTCTGCCACTTTATCTAGCTGCTCCATCAGTGTGAATAATGTATAACAAATGTTTTGCTTAATCCCTCTCTGTCTCTACCAGTCTCCTGTCAATATTGTCTTTCCATTTAGTTAAATCACTCCTTGTTTTATCATCTTTTGCGTCATCTTTTGAAATAATTTCCATTGCTTTCCGACCTGTCATTGTTTCTTTTTTGATTAATAGTTTATCCCAACCTTTGTTCCTTCTATCCTCAGTTCCTTTTTCAATTCCCATTTCTTTACTGTCACCGATCTGCCGCTTCATTGACTATTTATCTCACCATTCCCACCTGCTTCTTTTTCCTGCTCTGAGGTCTCTCTCAGAGTCTCGCTGTCTATCTACCCCCATCTTCCTTTTCCTTCCTCATGCATTCAGGTTGGTATTGCTGCTGTGTAACCAGTGTTCAGTGTTCCGCAGACCCTTTTTTCTACCATTAAACTTTTATTGCTCTCCTCCCCAGCAGCTGCAAGAATAACTTGGGCTGAACAGGCTCTTTTAAATATAGAGCAGCACCGGGAAGAAGGGACATGAGGAGAATGAGAGTGATAGGGGCAGAACGGTAAAATAAAGAGATTATGTACATAAAGATATTGAGGAAAAAACAACTAACGGGCAACAAAGAGAGTAAGAGTCACTTAGAGGGAAAGAAAACAGCTGAAGAGATGACTATGGTAACACTCGGTCACCCTCATCTACCTCTGGTTCCCATAGCAACCGTTGCCACTGATGGCAGGGAACCATTCAGCCTTTCTTATGAGTTATGACCGTGTTCGAAAATGTTCTCGTCTGCACTTTTTGTGTGAATGCACATGCACGGTGAAGACATGTGAAAATGTTAATTTCTGAAAACAAAATTGGCTATACAGTATTATCGGCACTAGCCCTCAAACCAGGAATCTAAGGAGTAAACAAACTGATGTTTTGGATTCTATATGGTGTCCTATGTTCCTAGCTATTCCTGTGGAACAAAAAGTCCTTTTAAATCACTTTGCTAGATACAGTTGCTTTCTAAAGGCATTCTTTGTTAAGCAAGTCAGCGTCAGGGTAGATGCATTCCAGATATGCTGCTCAGCATACATACATAGTAGAGCAGCTCCGTCCAACCCTCCATGGTGATACATTGGAAAACGGTCAGAATAGCAAACAGGATGTTGTCAAATTGAGTGATCCCGTAGTTTGGTCCCAACCAGTACTGTTTACAAGTGGTTCCACTAGGACACAGCCGCGATGGAGCTTCAAGCCCGCATGGAAACTCTTCTCGGATCTCATCTGAGCATAGGCAAAAGTGGAGGTGATTCAGAAGAGTAACAAAACAGATATCATTAGTGAACTATTACCACTTCTACAGAAAATACCTTTACTATCATACAACCACTGTGAGAAAAACATTTTAATAATGATCTCATGGTTTTGCTTAAAAGTCGGATCTATTCACATTAAAAATCACATTCAACCATTGTCATATATTAAAAATCTAATTTGGTTGGCAACACTGGATGAGGTAAGCTGGGAATCACACCGACAACCCAACACATAATAAAAAATGCTTCACTTCAAAACAATTTTTTTCAAAACTGCATTGGATTAATGAATTCTGAGTCCTCTTAGCAAAAATAGACTGATCTACCATTTTTCTTTTTTTTACCTGTTTGATTGTCAAAGCAGGTTGAGTGGAATTTTCCCATGTAGAACTCCAAGCCAATGATGGCAAACATGAGGATGGCAAAGAAAAGCAGCAGGCCAATTTGCAGCAGAGGAATCATGGCCTTCATGATGGATTTAAGCACCACCTGTAAACCTGAGGAACACAATACACACAGATATCACATTTTTGTATTACATTTTTTGCACATCTTCGCTTTTAACTATTGACAGCATCCCCTGGATCCCACTGGGATCCTTTCTGGCTCCGAAATGGCTGACTGTTGCCTGGTGCTGCCAATCAAGCAACACAACATAGGCAACTATGAATTTAAGCTGTGCCCTTAGAGTAACTCTCTACCATACAAAACACTGTGTCTAGTGCCTTTTGACAGAGTCTGCATCAAAGGCTGAACAGGAAGTCAACAAAAGCATCTGAATGAAGAAACTGGCAAATTTTCAAGACGAAAACTCCATTGCATGTCCCCATTGATAAATAACGTCACTGCAAATAACAGTCGAGTCAGCGCAGGAAACACAAAAGGTGTCGTGAGGATAACACAAGGTGAACAGTTTGCTTATTAGTTTTGCACACAGAAAATATGTGGTTTTATCGATCTCAATCATTCATGAAATCTCATCTTTCTATATGCCAGGATGCATTTTGCTGCTCTAACCTCATAACACATTGAGGTTATTAACACCCAATGCAGGTCTGGTGAATCATTGGGGTGAATTAGTCTACTCACAGAGATCCCATAGGTGTTAATGTGCCACACGGATACAGTCAATGCCAAATGTTTTGTGAAACCTGGGCAATGTTTTCAAATGTAAAGCCCATACACATAAGATGCAGTGTGTTGGTTTTCAGAAAAATGTAAGTAAGTTTTTTGGATGTGTAAGCTCCGGTTTGCCAGTGAAGCCTGGTGGTGGATGATAGGCTATTAATAGCTGTGCAGTGGCAGCAGGACCACTAGAAGATAAGAGAATGAGCTGAGTGTTCATTTTTTGTGATCCACACAAAACAAACAATAACCGGCCTAAACCTTTTAAATGAAACGATCCTCCTTCTTATTAGAATTCTTACCAGACCAACTAATTTTTCCATTTTAGGGAAAAGAAAATTCTCAAATGCAAAAGGAAAAATAGAGAAGCAAATGAAAACTTTGAGAAGGACTTTATGTTTTTACATCCAAATGATGAATATTGACTTACTGGGTATACCAGAAACCAGTTTGAGAGGCCTCAGTACTCTCACAGCCCGGAGAGTCCGCAAGTCGAAATCCGAACCCACAGTGGACAGGATCCTGGAGGGAAAAAGACAAATGCACAGAAGCGTGCACAGGAAATCAATAGCAAAGCCAGTCAAGCTTGTCACTGTCAGTCAACCTCTCACTTTTTTGCATTCTTTCCCATATATACACACACACACACACACACACACACACACACCATAGCAGGCTATTACAAGCGGCTGGGTGGGCACTGTATGTAAATCCTGTTAGAGCTGAGCTGATCAATAGAGCTGGCAAGTGAAGTAAGACAGCGAAGTGTATCAGGAAGAGGGAGAGGTGTGCTGAAGCGATGGTGTTCTGTATCAGGATGAGAGGGGGATTACTAAATGACAAAAAGAAAGATGGAGAGATGGGAAGGATAAGAAAGACAAAAAGGATGATGAAGAGGGGAAAAACTGCAAAGACAGACAAATGGAAAGAGAGGGTGAGTCAGAGGTGCTGACTTGCTTGCTTTTCCTATTTCTATTCTTAGTACATCTAGGATATTTCTCCTATTATCGGGCTACAGTAAACACGCCGCAGTGTGTACTAAGACTCCATTATCAGCACTCATCATTTGGCAGAAAAAAAGTTGTAAACAGCTTGTGAAGGTTAAGATGTTCCCTTGCGCTGCCAGACTTCTACTCAGTCCCTTCGTCTGACGCACACAGTGAATCATCCTCCTTCCCACCTTTCTCTCTTTCATTCTGTCTTGCTGACACATTTTTACTTTCCTCTGTTTCACCGGGAAAAAAAAACCCAGTGACACAGCCGAGCCTTAATCACAGGTCTGAGCTCCGCCTGCTTTGATTGGGATACTACAAAGTTTTTCATTATATGGGTAAAGCAACGCCGACTCAGTGTCTATGAGTAAATGTATACATAGAGTGGTTGTGGTTTCGGACATAGCCAGGAAGGCCCCCAGTGGTAGGTGCTCCATCACTGATGTAGGCAAGGGTCCTTGTAATGACATTGTGTGATATCAAATGTCTCATCAGGGGCTGACTTGTAACTGAGAGGTGCCTAGTTTCCTCACAAGGCATAAATGTTCTGTACTTAAGCTGAATGTGTAGCTTAAATATTGAACAAAGCACTCAGGATCCAAATCTACAGAAAACTATAAAGGACATTTGCACACAAAAACCAGTAAGAGTCACTTCAGGAAGGAATTAAGTAATACACCAATAAATGTTATAATTACCTGAAATCATCATGAAAATACAGAATTGTCTACAATAGGATAAAACTACATTAAGTGTGGCTCTGGATAACGTTGGAATGCTATTTAGGATTTTTGGGTTATCTTTTCAGCAAAAATGTTGTCTGGCCTTGCCTATATTTTTCAATAATCACACAGAATGCTGCTTTGGTAGTGTATGAATCCAGGTTGCTGCCCTGAACAGACACGTGTGCTTTAGTGGCAGTCATAGAGAACACACTACAACACAACATCACCTGCAGAGCAGGTACTGAGTATACTTTTTTCCCCCACTAAGGATGCATTATCCTGAAAGCTGTTTGGTTATAAAGAGGGCCACATTGATGCTGTGGAAAAAGGTGATGAGGGGCGGGATGAACATGATGAATGGATGACGGATAGTGGCTTTAAAGTAATCAATTCACAGGGGAAAGAAATCTAATACACTTGAAATCGGAGGAGAGGAAAAATGAAATCTATGAATAAACAATGTATACTCAATAATCTAATCAAGACCGAGAGATAAACACAAGAATGATTAGATGGACTACTAATTTTCTAGTTTGAATTGGGGGAAATTACTACAAATCTGCAGAGGTGTTTAAAAGATAATTAAGGATGTCTGTGATTGAACTATTGGGCCTACATTAGAAAAAAATACTATTGAATTCCACAGCTACAACATGTCGATAGCCAGCATTGCAGTTAACTGATGAAAATAAGCCGTGATAGGAACACCGCTGATGACGAAGGCACTGTTGATGATCAGAGACAATCAAGAATTTGTTTTTCAAACAGCTTCCGCCATCACAGTGTCAGAGCGATGAGGCAGTTCCTCATTCACACCGTATCCATGGTTACAGAGCCCCCTTTCTCATTCATAAGTGTTACCATGGCAACAGGGACCTTGGCTCATTGATAGAATCTCTGTATCACCTTGGTAACAAGACCAGAGGAGGAGTCAGATTGATTGCTTTTTTTTTTGCCTTTCTTTAAGACAAATGCTTTGCAACTCACGCAGACACAGTCACTGGCCCAGGAAATGGGCACGGTTCAGATATGAAATGTATCAAGGAAAAATAATTATATTGTGTACACAGAAAATTAGGTCATTTTGGCAATCCTTCCTCAGTCAGACATAGATTCCACCTTACATCCAAGTGACGTCCACTCTAAACCTGGACTTTAATAGTGTTAAAGGACAATCACCGAAATGAATATATACACATTCTCCA